GGGGTGTGGTATGAGCTTCAAGTTGCCCTGGAAGAGGCCCATGACCTTGGCCGGCCTCTGGTGGGCGCGCTGTTTGACTTATCCAAAGCCTTTAACACGTTGCCACGCACACCTGTCTTTGCCCTGGCACTGAAGCTTGGCTTCCCGCCAGCTCTGGTCCGTGCGTGGAGTGGCGCGGTCACGCGCATTGCCCGGCGGTTTAAGGTCCGTGGTGCAACAGGCCCTCCCATCCTTTCCGTGACTGGCTTCCCCGAAGGCTGCGCCATGTCTTGTGTTGCGATGGCACTCGTTGACCTGGCCCTCCATTGGCATGTTGCGAAAGCTGATCTTCGGCATTGCCTTACCTCTTTTGTGGACGATTGGCAAGTGCGTGAACACTCGCCTGAGCGTGTCCAGTTGGCTGTCCGGATGGTCAATGAGTTTGTGCGTGGCTGGGATCTGACGATGGATCCTCGCAAAACCGTCTTTTGGGCGACCCAAGCTGGCCACCGCCGTCAACTCCGTCGCCAGGGATTACCCGTTGAGTCCTCTGTGCGGAATGTGGGTGGCCATGTTAGCTTCAATCGTCGTTGCACCAATGCTACGGTACAGAACCGTCTTGAAGCGATGCATGAGCTGTGGCCAAGGCTGGCCGCTTCTTGTGCGCCTCGCAACCAGAAGATCAAGGCCCTCAAGGTCTCGGCCTGGCCGGCGGCTCTTCATGGTGTCTCGGGGGTGTGCCTGGGCCTTGCACGCTTTGCTGCCCTCCGTTCCTGTGCTATGCAGGGCCTGCGACTGGACCGCCCCGGCCTGAATCCGATGCTCTACCTGGGCATGGTGGAATTCCCGCTTGCTGATCCACACTTCTTTGCGATTTGGAGCACTTTTCGCGACCTGCGGGCCCATGCTGTGCGTGACACCTTTGTCCCGCTTTTGGCGTCCCTCTTGGATCGGAATGGGTCCCGCGCCCCAGGACCTGCGGGTGTTTTCCTGGAACGGGTGGCTCATCTNNGGCTGGAGATGGGATACTGCCACTGAAATGATTGAGGATGCAATCTCCTGCTTTGACCCTTGGCGCGTCTCCCCGCAGGAGCTCCTGTCCCGTCTTGTCTTTGCTTGGCAGTGTGCTGTAGGTGCGGCGTTGGAGAGCCGTGATGGCTTTCAGGGGATTAGTCAGGCGGACCCTGCTGAGACACGTCGTCTGCAAGCAAGCTTTACACCGGAGGACCGGCTCAACATTGCGCTTGGCCTCAGTGGTGCTTTCTACACTCAGGATGCCCTGCATCACTTCTCGGATAACCCTGATGATGATCGCTCCTGCCGTTTCTGTGGACAGCCTGATAGTGTGCGGCACCGTGTGTGGTATTGCAGTCACTTCCGTCAGCGGTGTGGCCACGCCCCCTCCTACCCGGATGCTGATGTGGCCACTCTACCGCCTGCTCAGTCGCTACATGGATGGGCCATGCGGCCGCGTGGATTGGTGCAACTCTGGCGATCATTGGCGGCTTTGCCTGATTATTCGGACCGGATCCTGTGTACGTGCCCCGTGGGCTCTGACTTGGATCTCTTCACGGATGGCTCGTGCAAGAACCCGGCGGTGCCTAACATCCGGCTTGCTTCTTGGGCGGTGATCATTGCCGCTGCCCCGGGGGTTGAGCCTGTCACGGCTGCGGGTGCGGCCCTACATGGCGTGGTGCAAACTGCGTTTCGTGCGGAAATCACGGCGGTCATTGCGGCTTTTCAGTGTATGCTACAGTGGGGGCGACCGGCCCGTATTTGGTCTGACTGCGCTGGTGTCGTGCGTGGAGTGCGGAGAATACAGGACGGCACTTTTCGGCGCTCCCCGTCAATGCTGAACTCTGACCTTTGGTGTACTTTGTGTACGTTGGCGGAGCGCGTGCCGCCAGGGTGGACCATACACAAGGTTGCTGCCCATGTGGGAAATACAAATCATACGTCGCTTCTGGAGGAGTGGGCTTACTGGAACAATGAGGCTGCGGATCGAGAGGCCCTGCGGACAAACCTGGACCGGCCGGCATGCTTTTGGCGACTGTGGGGTGATGTCTGCCGGGATCAGGCCTTACAGACCTTGCGCGGGCGGGCTGTGTTGCAACGCTTGCGCGATGTCGCAAGGGTTGCCACACAACCTGACACAACGGTTGGTCCTGCGGCTGAGGGTACCCTTGC